CCCCCCAAAAAAAAAACAACAACAAAAAAACAAAAACAAAAACAAAAACAAAATACCCGACCTCTTCACGGACTTCAACAGCCTGTCAAGCCCCCACCCCCTCCAAAAAAAACAAAAACAAAACCCAACCAACCAACCAACCAAACAAACAAACAAAACCGAGCCCTTCACGAAAACGCCGCTGATGTAACCTTATGCAGTAGTGAGCGCCGTAAAACTCTTACAAAACTAAACTCTTCACGGAAAGGAAACATAAAAAGCGTGACTCGGTCCGTATGGAAGGAAAAACAAATTATATGTTCATTTTTCTGCTTCGTAGCGAGCTCTTCGCGTTCCTTGGGTTACATTTAAATTTATTGTTCTGTTTGGTATTTACTTTTATATAATATCAAATTCATTTGCTTTGGTTAATTTTTGGAGTTGGACAGAAGTGGTCTTCGTCCATTCTTCGGTCTCAAAGTATTTGATTCAGCTGTTGTTGCGTCATCAGCATATTTTCATACCTGTGATAAGAAAAAGGTTCAGTTATTACAATAATTTGAAAGAAAACAACTACAACAGATAATTTGATTTAAGCGTTCCAGAAGTATAAAGGTAAGTTAAAAATATAAAACTATGTACACCTCGAGTGCGGCAAGGAGTGAACCCTGTTTATTAAAATGAAAAAAACAAACTCCGACGAGATGCCCGGGATATTACATCCGATCACATTTCCTAACACATAACTGCAAAAATCATTCTTCGGATCGGATGCTATTATGAAAGACAGAAGGGGTGGTATAGAGTATAAGACGTCGATAAGTTATAAATAATTTATTACCGTCCATCCCCCGGATATATCACGCCTACAAACTATCGCCAAGACTGAAAAAGCACAGGAAATAAGGGTAATTGGGGGATCATTTTCTCACTACTTGACGATGAACAACTGCCCGTGAGGATAATCAGATAAATGCTAAAAGAATATTTTCACATACATTTTTTTGTTTACCCGTGATTATGTTTTGGTACAGCTTAAAATAGAAAATTATTGTATATTGGATCATATTCATACAACGCATTTTGTCTGTGAGACTGCTCAAAACGATCAGTAAGAAAAAAAGAAGAAATATAGTATTTTGCAACCACATGCTAATGCTCATCGCAAGTAACAACAGGTACAGAGGTGAAACGTCCCGCCTCTCTCTCTCTCTCTTTCTCTCTCTCTCTCTCTCTCTCTCACACACACACACACACACACACACACACACACACACACACACACACACTCACACATTATCTCTCTACCTCTCTCCCTCTCTCTCTCTCCCTTTCTCCCCCTTTCTGCTTTACTAGCTTTCTCTATCTTTTTCTCTCTCTCTCTCCTTCTTTCTTTCTATTTTTCTCCCTCCTTTCGTTTTCACTCTATATCCCCACCCCTTTGCCTGTTTTTGATTCAGTGTGACTGTCTATATCTGCCTCTCTTCTAGTCTCTCCCTAATATCTTCAATCTCTTTTTCTCCCCCCC